ATACCCACACACACATGTACACATACACTCATACACAAACACACACAGGCGTGGGATGTAAATTTCATCCTTGTTACCCCATTTTGCCTGGAAGTGGATGTCCTCTTTATTGATGCTAAAGACTAAATATTTGAGTCCTCTCAGATTCATGTGTTAATTCCTAATCCCCAATGTGATGGTATTAGGAGGTGGGGCCACTACCAGGTGATTAGGTCATGAAGGTGGTGCCCTCGTGAATACGATTAGTGCTCTTACAGGAGAGACCCTAGTCAACTCCCTTACCCCTTCCACATGTGAAGACAAGCAAGAAGAGGGACATTTATGAACCAGGAAGTGGGCTTTCATCAGACACTGAATCTGCTGGTACTTTGATCTTAGGCTTAACAGGATCTAGAACTTCGAGAACTAAATTTCTGTTGTGTATAAGCCACTCAGTTTATGAGATTTTTCTGTTAACAGAATTGATTTTTAAAGTTGTGGTGATTCTATTTCTGATTTCTAGAAATTTGGCTCCTTTTCAAATCTGCAGTGACATTTAATTTTACGTTTCCCATACCTTGCACACAATGTCAAATTTGTAATTTATTTCTTTAATTAAGCTGTCATAATTTCATAATTCCAAAATCTGAAATCTGGACAGAACTCTTACTTCTTTGTTATTTTTGTTGTTTGTCATATGTATTCAAATTATTTTATTTTCTTGGATGCCAAGATTACTTGATTTCTTGGTATTATGATCTTTAAAAAGTTATTAATGAGGTTTCCTGAGGACTTAGAATGATGTGCCCTTCTCCAGAACAGCTTTCATTTGGGGCCTGTACCAGTAGGAATATCTTAACCAAGTTCCCAGTTTGGAGAGTCCAGACCCATAGAGGCCATGCATACATGGAGTAAAAATCCTTGCAAAGGTTGATCTGCAGCCATAACTCCCCAGAGAAGTCTTATTTGTTTTTTTCTCTCCATTTCTGCAATGAATGAAGAGCCCTCTTTTCAGTTCCTCGCAGTTGTGGGAAGCATAGGTTGCATTTTCTCTTTCCTTGACTCTTCATTTGAGATTAGAGTCCCTCTGGCCACTAGCTTAAATTAGGGCCCCATGTGTCTTTCCAAATGAATAATTCCTGATCCTGTTTTCTATGTCTCTAGGCCTTGCATAGCCCCAAAGCTAAGCTCAAGTGTTTGCAATGTCCTTATGTATTGTTAGGATAAAAATGGCTTTAGAGGCCAGTCATACGCTGGTCACAGATTTAAAAAAAAAAATTGGGCCCAAAATTCTCTGTATGGTCTTCTAGCCTCCATCCCTCCTTCACTCTGTCCCTCCCTCCCTCAGTCACTTCCTCCCTTCTTTCCTTCCTTCCTTCCCTTTCCCCTTCATCCTTCCCTCCTTTCCTTTATTTTTTTGTTTTGTAGTATTTTTTCAACATGTTTTATTTTTTTCACCAGGATTGTTGATATGAGGAAGCTTGCCCATCATTTCTGGAAACAGAAATCATTTGAAAATATTTTTGAATTTTAGAAGCTCTTCATTAGATTATCTAGCAGTTTGTAGTTTTAGAGATTTAAGTTGACTTGTGTGTATTATAGTCATACACATTTTTGGTGATGATATTTTTGGCTTTTCGTTTGCATTAGATCCTTTCACAACCCACTGAGCATGCACTTTGCTTCTATCCTCACTGAGTGTTTTGCATAGGCCCCCGCAGGCCCAGATCAACTGCTCAGGTTTTATAAGAGGGGCCTTTGTAGTGTGAGCTGAGCTGCATCAGGCAGGCAGGGACACCAAGATGATGTCGCTGACACAGTTCCTTATATCTGTGTTGCTCTGGGTCTCAGGTGAGAAATTTAAAAGTGCCTCAGTTCTTTTGGAGTAATATCTTTTTAGAGGTAAAAAATTAATTTTAAGAAATACTGGCCATTTCCAAAATAGACCCAATTATGTGCTGACCTGTAATATCATTAGAAGGCACATTTTAGATTTCATATTTCAATGTGTCTATGATAAAGTATGTGTGTATCATCACAATCCATTTGTGATTGCAGGTGCCTGTGGGGACATCGTGATGACGCAGTCTCCAGACTCCTTGGCAGTGTCTCTAGGACAGAGAGTCGAGATGAAGTGCAAGGCCAGTCAGAGTGTTAGCAGCAGCTTGGACTGGCACCAGCACAAACCAGGACAGGCTCCTAAGCTGCTCATCTACAGAGCATCCAGCAGAGCGTCTGGGGTCCCTGACCGATTCAGTGGCAGTGGATCTGGGACAGATTTCACTCTCACCATCAGCAGCCTCCAGGTTGAAGATGTGGCAGTTTATTACTGTATGCAGTCTAATACTGCTCCTCCCACGGTGCTAAAGCCTCGAACACAAACCCCCTCCCCCAAACCATGGGTCAGTGAGTCTTTTCTGCACCAGCTGCTTCCTCTGCACACAGCCGTGAACATGCACATTCCTCTATCTACCTGAGAGGTGGTATCTCCTGACTTATTCCTTGAAGAATTTGTCAGGCCCTGGATAAAATTAGGTGAGTTTGCTCTTTCTGGATCCCTTTTTGTGGGAGATTATTGAAAAAAAATGCTGTAAATATCCGTAGAAATCAGGAGGTTTTGTGTCATAGGTTCCTGCATGTTTTCCATGGACTGTCCCAATGATGAAGTCAATAAGGCTTGTCTCATCCTCTGGAGAAGGGTTCAGTGAATTTTCTACCCTGATGGGTCAATTCTCCCTTCTCTGTGCCTCTTTGACTCTGGAACATTTCTATTTTAATTCCTGATTCTCCTGGTCTCCTTTCTTTATCTGTAATCGACCTTCTAACTCTTGGACTGTCACAATAATAAACACTTGAAGTCTCCTATTCAAAACCTTCCACAGAAGGTAGTATCCCTCTCTTGCTTCTTCCTTTCTTGGACACTGTTTTCCAGCCAAGCTTTTCTGGTCACTGTCAGTGATGTTACTTTCCTACTCTATCTCCTTTTGTACCACCGTCTTATCTTCTCTCCATTTCCTCCAGTGTAATCATTCTTACAAAGGCAATTCTCTAATTCTTTATCCCTGTCACTCTAGAAATAGAAATATCTCTATTACTTTTTCTGATAATTTGTCAACTTTCTCTTTAAATCCATCCCATTGGGCACCCAAGTCTAAATTTGTGACTGAAGGAAATTGTGGCTCTATGTGTGGGAAACTCAGTCATTTTAGTATTATTTCTTCACCTACTTCTCAAATACACGGGTTAATGACATTTAGCTTCAGGAAAGATCACAGCAAACCTGATCAGGGTACTCTGAACACTCTTACCTGAATGACAGCTTCTCATAATATTCAGAAATATATTTAAAGTATTGATATGGAGGAATCCATGTCATTCATTCATTCAAGATATGTTTTTCAAGTGCCTTCTCTGTGTCAGAAGGAAAAATACCTGCTTTCATTCCAGTTGGGGGAACCAGACAAGAAACACGTGCATTAGTAAATATTTACTCTGTTGTTTTGTAAATGATATGAAAAAGAATAAAGCAAGAAATGGGTAAAGGCTAGAGGCGGTACGAGAGAGTACAAATTTAAACCTGGATAATGTAGTTGTTAGCTATTGTCGTGTAATAAACCACTCACAAAATGAAGTGGCTTAAAATGGTAGTGTTTTTATTGTTATTATGTTTATGGATCAGCTGATTAGCTCTGTTAATATGGGCCAGACTTGATTGATCTTGGCTGGCTTGCTTGTCTTTTTAAAGTCAGCTGACAGGTCAACTGGTGCTAGTTAATATAGAACGGCTCATATTTCTTTCATCTCTTTCACATTTCCATAGTTGGCTGACCATCAGTGGGGCTGTCTGGGTGACCAGACCTCATGTCTCTCATCAACAGGCAGACTAATCCAACTTCCTATGGCAGTTGACTGAGAGAGAAAGTAAAACCACATAAGGCATCTTCAAGCCTAGACTTAGTGCTGTCACAACGTCCCATTTGGTGCTTTCTAATGATCAATGCAATTGTTCCTATTGAAGGAGAGGGTAAATAGTCCCTCCCTGTTGATAGGAGGAAATACAAAGTTATATTGCAAAATGCATGGAGATAAGGGGGCATCAGGGATTGCCCTTTGCAACAGGTGATCCATCTGTTCAATGAATTTACTATAGAAGGTCATGGAGAAGATTAGACTGGGTTGGTATGACAAAATCAAAGTCTTAATGTGGTGAGGTAATATGCCATAGAAACATCTCCAGGCAATAGAGTTCTAGTTAAAGAAAACGGCATATTTCTGGGGCAGAAATGTGAGCAGCATGTTGGAGAAAAAGAAGGAAGCCAAAGTTGCTAAAATGCAGTGTGAAAGGGGGAGAGTAGTGGAAATAAGATCCAAGAAATAATGAAGAGGACGCATTGAGTAGGACTTTGTAGACTTCTCTATGATTTGGGATTTATTTTGAATGATGTAGTAAGTGGGATAGCTTCTGTGTGTAAGGGAGTCATTATAAAGAAGGATCATGGAATTTAAGATGAGTATGGAGAGAAGTGAGAATATCAGGGCCTGAGGGACAGAGAAAATGTAGATTTTCTACATTTTCATAAAGGTCATATATAAAGGTCAGCAGATTTCTTAAAATATAATTTTCAAAGAACAATAAAATTTTGACTCTCTGGGATAAATAGTAATAATGAACATGTGTTAAGTAATTTGTTTTACCTTACATGATATGAGGGAAATAGGAAGATATTATAACTGGCTCAAAGGAAAAATCAAAACAGCATGGATATAAATGGAATAAAGGAATGAATTGCAAATGGGGACAAACTAAGTAGATTTCCAAGGGGAGGTAAGAAAGTCAATTAAATCTCTACTAGACGGCACAGAATTCAGGTATCTATGTTTCTTAAAATTTATGAAGATTTGCAAAATAGCTCGAAGACAATATACGTGGGTAGAATCTGATAACCCAGAGAGATGTGGTATAGACCTGCCTAATTTTCCATTGAAACATAACATTTTTTTTCCCTATGGATTTCAGGTCCTGATGAAGGCTAGCTATTATTGACAACAGCATACTATATGGAGGGAGCTGCAGAGCTCCTAGAAGTGGCCAAGGGTGAAATCCTGAACATTTTGAGGATAAAGAAGTTGCAGTCATTTTCTAATGACATGTCTAAGGTATGACCATGGAAGTGAGTGATCAAGATTGGGTGAGAAGAGACAGTTGGAGGAGAATCGATCAAAGAGCTGAGAGATCAGGATAAAGGAAGGATCATACATACATATATTAAAATTACCAGGAATTGTGATAGGCATGGGGTTGAAGTGAGTGTCTGTGAGCCAGGAACTAAAATATCCCAGAAATGAGAAGAGACTTTGGAGCTGGTAGATGATTGCAACAAGGAATGACACGGGGTGCTGTAGTCTACCTACACAGAATTCAATAATAATAATTTTTTTTATTCTTTATCCTTTAGGTAGGAGGTTTGGCAGAGACCTCAAAATGGCAAGTGAAGGGGGCAACATGAAGTACCTGAGAAGGCTGCAGGGGAAGCACTGTACTCAGGGGAGACCAGAAGTCTAAACAGCACACAAGCTAAGGGAGCACTCAGAAGAGATGGAAGGTATAGGGCTTTCAGTGGTTGAGAAGGGCTGTGAATTGGCAAGGTTTTGAAAATCCTGCTCTTTAGGAATCTGAGCCTTTCATCTCTCAAGGCTTCCAAACATTTTTTTCTGCTCTCGTAAAATCTACTTTACTGTTCTTTTCAAATTTGAGAACTTTTCCATTAATAAAAGGAACTTATTCTTCACTTCTCAGTTTTGCAATAGGAGTCTTTTTTTATGCTATAATGTATTGGGAAACGTATAATTTGCATTTGTTCTATCACAAGGATAGGCATAGATCTAGCGTTTTCTCATTCCTGGGATGTTTTCTTTGGACCCACCTTAAATGGCAAAGTAGAGAAAGAGGGGTGCTCAGTGGATAGTGACTACAAACTTGCCTGGAGAGGAGATTCTATTTGGGGAATAGCAGTAAAGGCAGTGGGAAGGGTGTTTGGGATCTGAGTAGAGAGCATTCGACGGGACTGCATGACCCAGCACTGAGACCCAGAGTTAGAGCTGAAATAAGATTTAAAGGAAGTGGATGGAAAGATAGAGAGGAGACTAGCTCTCTTTTGGAGTAAAAGGAGTCCCAGCTGCAGATTTTTAAACCAAACCATGCCAACTCGTTTGTTCCCTCAACAAAACAAAGCAAACAAGCAATAAAAAGTAACCCTCTATTTGTACAAGTAGCAAGTAAGCGAGAAGCAGCTGGGACACCTATCCCACCTGCTCTGGTAGGAAGGTTTATATTTGGGGTCATGTCATTATGAGAGTACATCTTGAGGTTGGAAAACTAATTATCTTTACCTTCCAGGCTGCTGATGATAAGAATGAAGTCTGTCCCAGACCCACTGCCACTGAACCGGGTGAGCACGCTGTTAATTGGAGTGGAAGCATTGTAAATGAGGGCTTTCGGGGGCTGCCCAGGTCTGTGCTGGCACCAAGCTAAGCAATGCTTCACATCCACGTAGAGGAGGCTTTCCGTCGCTCTGCAGCTGATGGAGACTCTCTCCTGGGGAGACTGGCAAAGACTCTGCGGCCTGAGTGAGCATGATGTACCCACTGGATCCTACAATTAGAGGCACATGGGACGGATCCAGAGATACTGTGCCACGCAAGGATAAAAGAAAAAAATCAAGATGAAATGTAGTTTCTGTGACAGGTGGACAGGTTTGTGTTGCTTGTAGCATTTATTTTATATCCAATTTTACAATTGTGGATCTTTCTGAAGAGGAGGATTACTTTGGTGGGAAAACCCCATCTCTGTGCTTGTAAATATTTTCTCATCTGAAACACAGTAGAGCAAGAGCCTGTGGATCTGGGATGGTGACACCACCTTGCAGCTCCTCCTTTTGCTTGATGTTGCTCAAGCTCCATCCCCCAGAAATGGCTCCATTTATGTGACTCAGATCACCTTCCCAGGTTGTGGTGGGGGCTGAGGGACACTTATGTAAAGAACCAAAGAATATGACAGTGAAGCTCATAAAGCACAGATTTGTGCTTAGAAATCTTGTAAGCTGTGCTTTTCCTACCTTTTTTTCCTTTGAGGAAGATTAGCCCTGAGCTAACATCTGCTGCCAATCCTCCTCTTTTTGCTGAGGAAGACTGGTCCTGAGCTAACATCCATGCCCATCTTCCTCTACTTTATATGTGGGACGCCTGCCACAGCATAGCTTGCCAAGCGATACGTAGGTCTGCACCTGGAAACTGAACTGGCGAACCCCAGGCCACGGAAGTGGAACGTGCAAACTTCACCATTGCACTACCAGGCCGGGCCCTCTTACTGTTTAAATATGGCAGCAGTTGGTACCTATTGTCTTAGATTCTCTGATGAAACTAAGATGAAAATAGTTATATTTTAGCATCCCTAGTACTGTTGCTAGAAACAGAAATAAATTCATGATGAAGCATTTGTTGAAGTCGTACCCGTGCTAATTATCGTAATGCTCAACTCACAGAGTCTAAAATGTTTGCAAATAGAACTATATCTCAACGTCCCAGAAGTAGAGGCCTCCAATATCCAATTTTCCATGACTGGTGTACAGCAGTAGTGGTACCGGTAGGACTGACATTGTCCATCTGTGGTGGCAGTGTGTCAGATAAAATCTCTGTCTGTGATTTGTCCCAGACTGCACTTATGCCATCTAGCTCCCATGCCTTTCCTGTCCCATGTTACCTAAACTTCCCATCAAATCTGTAAGTCACAGAATATGGTTCAGTCTTTTCATTTTCTGCTTCCATAAGACCCAGTTGATTTTTGTTGTTCGCAACCAAATGCCCTGACTGATAAAAATATGTTTCCATATTTGACAGCATTAGATCTTCATCAAAGTTTTTTCCCACAAAATAATTGTAGTTGTATTTAGCCCTTTTTACTTCTATTAAAGTTTAGAATCATTTATGGGATTGCAAAACAAGTCTCATTATTATATTGCTTAGGGTTATGTTATAGTTGTAAATAAACTCAGCAGAATTGATGCTTTCCTTCCTTCGTTTGTGTTTACATTTATTAGACAAATGCTAACTGAGAACCCACCATATACCACGCATTTTTCTGAGTACTGATGTTATAATAGTGATGGTGACCGATGAAAGACAAGAGCCACACTCTCAGGAGTGTCAGTGGTAGGGATATACACATTGATTAAGGAATGTTACCACAATGCAGAATTTGAGGTAAGAAATGTATAAATGAGGCCATTAGGAAGGGCATTCTAAGTGTCTTTTTTGTTTATCCTATACAAAATAGAAATATTTGGAAGCCTTTTAATCAGATAGATGACATGATGAAATTTGCCTTTAAAAAAGGTCATTCTTGTTTCAGTGTAGAACATTTTGGAGAGAAACGAGAATAGATGCAAGAACAGGAGTTAGGAAGTTGCTTTAGGAATCTAGAAGACAGATGCTAATGTCTTGGTCTAAGACCATGACTGTGAAGATGGAAAGAACTGATGGATTTGGGCATATGTAGGTTGTAAAGTTTGCTATGAGGGTTGAGGCAAAGAGCAGTGTCAAAGATGTGTGCAGTGTTTCTGGTTTACACAACAAGATGTACGGTGTGTCCTTTCTTCAGATGGGATTTGGCAGGATTGGGTGTTGGGAGGAGAAAGATAATGAGTTATATTTATATTGTAAAGATATTGAGTTTGAGGTGCCTTTGAAACATCCAAGAAGAAATTTAAGAGATTGGAAGACAAGTCTGAATTGGAGATATCAGTTGTTGCAAGATGTACTCCTTTTACCCAGTCATATGAACTTAATACAATTAGTTTCTGTTATTCATTTTCTTTTTTGTGTTTGTGTGTGAGGAAGATTTTCCATGAGCAAACATCCATTCCCAATCCTCCTCTTGTATTTTTTTTTTTTTTGCTTGAGCAAGATTAGCCTTGAGCTAACATCCATCTCAATCTTCCTCCACTTTGTATGTGGGATGCCCGCACAGCATGGCTGATGAGTAGAGTAGGTCCGCACCTGTGATCTGAACCCAAAATCCTGGGCCACCAAAGCCAAGTACGTGGAACTGAAGCCACTCAGCCACAGGGCTGGCCCTCTCATTTTCTTTTTTATTCATTCACTTATTCAACAAATCTTAATTGACCAAATACTCTGTGTCAAGTACTGTGCCAGGCACTTTGTGGATATAATTTTTATCAATAAAATTGTGAAATTATAAGAAATTTTATTTTAAAATATAACAACGAAAAGTAGACAACACACACATATGAACATTATTTGTTGAATAATATTCTAGTGCTCCTCAAGATATTGTCATATGTAGCATATTTCTGGTCTCTCCCTTCCCTGAAACCCAATGTATCCTTTACTAATCATAACCTTTACTTCTCCTCAAAATTAAATGCTATCTCTGACATTTCTAGTAATCACTTTCTGGATTTTACATTCTGGATCTCTAAACCATAAAGCTTTGTTTGTTATGGCTCTTTATATAAATAGAGCAAAAAGACTCTGAATAGCCAAAGCAATTCTGGGAAAAAAGAATAAAGCTGGAGGTATCACACTCCCTGATTTCAAAATATACTACAACGCTATAGTAATCAAAACAGACACACAGACACACAGATCAATGGAACAGAACTGAGACTCCAGAAATAAACCCCCACATCTATGAACAGCTAATTTTTGACAAAGGAGCCATGAACATACGATGGAGAAAGAAAAGTGTCTTCAGTAAATGGTACTGAGAAAACTGGACAGCCACAGGCAAAAGAATGAAAGTAGACCATTATCTTACACCACACACAGAAATCAACTCAAAGCGGATTAAAGACTTGAATGTAAGACCTGAAACCATAAAACTCCTGGAAGAAAACATTGACATCAGTCTTTGCGGTGTCTTTTTGAATATCATGTCTTCTCGGGCAAGGGAAACAAAAGAAAAAATAAACAAATGGGACTACATCAAACTAAAAATCTTCTGCACAGCAAAGGAAACTATCAACAAAATGAAAAGGTAACTCACCAACTGGGGGAAAATATTTGAAACTCATATTTTGGATAAGGGGTTAATATCCCAATTATATAAATTCCATACAATTCATCAACAAAATAACAAAAAATCTGATTAAAAAATGGGCAGAAGATCTGAACAGACATTTTTCCAAACAAGATATACAGATGGCCAACAGGCAGATTTAAAAGATATTCAACATCCCTATGTATTATGGAAATGAAAATCATATTGTATATTTCTATATAATCTTTTGTGACCAGCATATTCTCCCCCGCTTTCTTAAGATATAGTTGAGAAATAACATTGTGTAAGTTTAAGGTGTTCAGCATGTTGATCTGATACACCAAAGCTTGCAAAAGGATTACTACCATAGTGTTAGCTAACACCTCTATCACATCACTTAATTACCATGATTTTTTTGGTGAGAGTATTTAAGATTTACTCTCTTAGCAACTTTCAAGTATATAACCCAGTACTATAAACTATAATCATCAAGCTACACATTAGATCCCCAGGACTTATTCATCTTATAAGTGAAAGTGTCTACTCTTTGTCCAGCATCTCCGCATTTCCCCCACCCCCAGTCCCTAGTGACCAATGTTCTAGTCTCTGTTTCTATGACTTCAGCTTTTTTAGATTCCACATGTAAGAGATAAGTGTTCCTGTTGTTCCACATCCTTATTAGCATTTGTTATTGTCAGAGTTTTGGATTTTGGTCATTCTAATAGGTGTGTAGTGGTATGTCATTGTTTTAATTTGCAATTCCCTAATGACCCTAATGTGGAGCATGTTTTCATATGCTTATTTGCCACCTCTATATATTCTTTGGTGAGATGTCCATTCAGATATTTTGCCACTTTAATTGAGTTGTTGGTTTTCTTATTGTTGAATTTTAGAATTCTTTGTAAATTTTGGATACAACTTTTTTATTAGACATGTGTTTTGAAAATATTTTCTTTCATTCAGTGGCTCGGTTCTCATTCTCTTAACAGGATCTGTCACAGGGCAGAAGTTTAATTTTAATGAAGTCCCACTTATACATTTTTTCTTTCATGGATTATGTTTTTGGTGCTGTATCTGAGAAGTCATCACTAAACTCAAGGTCACTTAAATTTCCTCCTATATTGTCTTCCAGAAGTTTTAAAGTTTTAATTTACATTTAGGTCTATGATCCATTTTGAGCTAATTTTTGTGAAAAGTGTAAGGTCTGTGTTTGGTTTCTTTTTTTTTTGAACATGATGTCCCATTGTTCCAGCACCATTTGCTGAAAGAACTGTTCCCCATTGAATTGCCTCTTTTGCTTTGTCAAAGATCAGTTGACTGTATTCGTGTATAGGTCTATTTCTGGGCTCTCTATTGTGTTTAAGTGATCTGTATTTGTCTACTCTTTCACCAGTGCCAAGCTGTCTCAATTGCTGTAACTTTATAGTAAGTCTTGAAGTCAGGTAGTTCCAGTCCGTTGACTTTGTTCTTCTTCAATACTGTATTGTCTGTTCTGGGTTTTATTTTGGTTCTAATTAAAGATTGTAATATAGCCAGTTTAGTTTCCTTTTCCCATCTTGACATGTCCATGTTTGTTGTTCGTTTTTAAAAAAATAAACTATTTGTGTTAATTGCAAAGTCTTAAATCCCAGGGGGACTTGGGTATCTGCTTTCTGTGATTCTGCTGTTACTTGTGTTGTTCACATTCAGGTAGTCTTGTTTCCTTGTGTATCAGGAAATCTCTGACATCTTGCTCATGTTGGCCCTTCAAAAATTATTTATGAGGTCTCCTGAGAGTTTAGAATGGATATGTCCTCCTCAAGAGATGTTTTCTTTTTGTTTATTCCTGGTGCTTGGGGGCTCTACTAGTAGGACAGGCTAAATCAAGTTGAAAGTTGGAAAGTTCCAGACTCACTTAGGCCATGCATGCTTGGGATGTGATCCCATGTGGGGCCTGATCTACAACTTCCTAGGGAAGGGTTTTTTTTCTTCTTGATTTCCTCTTTCATCTCCAGTTCTGCAACAAATCTAAGCAGTTCTCCCTGCAGTTAGTTCCCAGAAGTTGAGCAGAGAGGAGAGTTCCGTCCAGATTTGGTTTACTCTTATCCTGAGAGATCCTGAGGGGCTTCAGCCTAATGTAGGATTGATCTCCCTCAGAGTTTCTTACCTGGATGGTCTCTGGGCCTCCACTTCAG